ATGAGTGTTTTGGGCTTAACTCAAACTACTGTTATATAATCCTTTTAAGACGTGCTATTAGAACTGATGAATGTGTCGGTCAACTTTTCGATTGATTATTTGAAAATATGGTATATGAAAATAATTTTTGAAATTTAATTTAATATAATATATATATAGTTTGAGTTTTAAAAGTAATATGTTTTAATTTTCGAAAAATGAGACTAAATGGATCTCATTTGTCCAATAGTTTGCATAATCGTGTCCGATACCGCGAATACTACACCACTACGCCTTCCCGAAAGATAAGTGTAAATCTCGTCGATAGATTCAATCTTGCAAACTAAAAGATTTATGACATCCGTTTGGTATGTGAACATTTTATGTATGACCGACAAATTCCCCTATTTAATACAAAGATTAAATAAAGTTTATTTTATCTGGGTTGCAAGTTCCCTATAGAGGCAAACCCCTATAGTTAATTACATCCCAAATGAAGGGAGTCACTTGAGAAAACTCTCGATAATGATCAATGGTTCTAGTCTTCAAGAATTCAAGGTTCAGGTTTTCAAGATAGGATGAGGAAAATCAAGTGGGAATGACTCAATGCGGAACACTTATTTTCAGGAATCCAAAGGAAGGAGAAGGTAGGAGATGTCACTGATCCGAGGTAAATCTCGATAACTTCCCAGACTATCCTACGGTGTGACTATATTTTGTTGGAGACGATGTTAATTAATTGTTTGATCCTGCCAGTTTTATTATTTGGGACTTACACTTGCATAATACCTGATTATGCAAATAGCCCGCAGAGATATGAGGATTTACATCGTACCGTACGACAATCTCGGAACCTAAGTCGAGTTAGGACTCATGTCGCACAACATGGTTGTACAAGAGCATAAAAAGGAAGTGTGAGGATTTACGTCGCGCTAGACGAGCTACCTCGAAGTCCTATGAATTGTTATTATGCTAAGGAAGAGATAAAAACTAATGCTGAAGAAGATCTTATTGTTGCTCGCTCCAAGCTCCTCGTCGTGCTGCCCACAAAGTTGGCTCCAAGCTCTTGTCGTCGCGATGACTCCAGGGTTTAAGTGTTTGAAAATTGTAGTTTATGTTTCACAGTTTTGGTGTCAAAGTTTGGTTTTGCATGTAGAATGAATAGATTGCAAGTAAATAAAAAAAAGTAGTTGAAAAGTAAAATACAGTAAAATAAAATGCTATAGATAAACTGTAAAAGCGTACTTGGACATCTGCTATTGTTGTGTTATTAGTGTTGCGAGCATAGTGTGATTTGCAGCATATTTAAACATACTTGCAAGAAAAATGAATAAGGCAAGAAAACCCAACATGAAAGTCATAAAAACGAGTAGTAGAAATCACGAGCAAAAGAAACTTGTAACCACATATGACAGCTCAGGACTGGGTATAAGACATTGGTAAAAGTGGGGGCTCAGAGCTGGGCTGTGTACTCCCGACCTCGAGTAAGAGTTGCCAACTCGACAATCTAGAGGAGGTATTTCTTAACCTCAATCCAAATGAATAACCATAGACTTT